AGCTGAGGGGAGGCATGTGGCTCAGGGGGTTCCCAGGCCTCTGACCCCTCATGAACCAGCATAAGTCCTAGTCACATGGGCCCCCACCCCTACGGCAACACATGACGGCAATATGTGGGAGAGGGGGCAGGAGGACACAGAGTGAGTTGGGGCAACCAGGCCCTTAGCAGGCTCATGCTTGTCTGTATTGTCAGGTTAGCACACGCTTTCCTTTCCAAATACGACTGTTCCTTCTCCCCCAGTGCAAACACTCATGCCCTTCCCGAGAGCATCGGCCACCAGGCTGCTGTCTTCCTCTCTGACCCTGTCTTTCTGGGGACCTTGAATCCTCTTCATACTGGAGCCCCCAAGGTCTGGAGTCTGACCCCCTCAGAATGGGGGACCCCAGCAGTGCACATGGTAGAGGTGCAGATACGCTGTGACCGCAGAAATCCTTATAAGCACATTAAGAGGGTATTTTAGGAGATACCCGTTCTCCTTTCCTCTTACCCTTTCTTATCCCCTGGCTTTTCTTCTCACTCTCCAAGGACTGGAAGTCTTCATAGTTCATCGACATCCTTGGACCCACTCTGAGGCTGTCAGAGCTGAAATGGAGGCAGGGCCAGTGACCAGCTAGGCTGGAGAGAGGAGACAGGGGAGGCTGGGACTAGGTTGGAGCTGAAGGCAGGCTGGAGTTGAGGTAAGAGAAGAAGTTCAGGTTGAGGATGAGTCAGGGGTTAGGGATAGGAATGGGCCTGGGTTTGCAGCATAGGTTGGAGGTAAGGTCAGGATTGGTCTTTGGACTGGGATTGGGTTGAATGTGGGATTGAAGGAAAAGGTAAAGTTGGAGCTAAAGGAATTACTAGGACTGCGTCTTACATTAGGGCTGAAATTAAGGTTGCATCTCCTCCTAGGACCGGGATCAATACTCATGTTGATGCCATGGATGGTGTGGGGCCTAAGCTTGGCCCTGAAGTTGGAAACAGAAGAGAGTGAAGCTCAACTTTGGGTTGGGGCTGATGTTAAGATTCATGTTGACTTTGGCGTTCGGACTGTAGTTAAGGGAGGAATTGGTGTTTGTAATGGGGTTAGGGCTGGGGCTAGGCTGGGGCTGAAGATGGGGCTGGAAATGGGCTGCAGATGGGGCTCAGTGTGAGTCTCAGTTTGTGACTGAGGTTTGGCTGCCAAAGTTCAACTGAATCCAGTTAGTGATTAGAGTCTAAAGTCTCCATCAGGTCATTGAATCTCCAAGCTGCCTTTTTATATCTCTTCCTATTCAGTCCCAGTTGAGACCCACAGCCCCTCTCCCTGCTTTCTCTAACTCCCTCCCTGTCCCCTTGGTCTCACCTGCATCCCCAGCCCAGTTACCTGTGCAAAGTCTGAAGGTTGTTATTCTTGGGCTTGCTGTGTAGCAGTGAGTAGAGTTGAATAAATCGAAATCCTGGAGAGTGGGGTAGAGGTGCCTGAGGAGGAGTCAGGTCAGTGACTGGAGTCCTGCTGGTCTCTGTGTCTGAAAGCCCAAGAGTCAAAATCTGGGAACTCCCGTTTCTTCCGCTTTGGGCAGCAAATAATAATCAGACCACAAGCTGAGTCTGCGTGTTTGGCGTGTGAGATATGAAGCCAGCTTTGCTCTCCTCCTCGGGGTGTGCCTCCTCCCTTTCCGCTTCTTTTCAGTTTTTCTGACTTCTTCCTTTCTGGTATTTGGGAGATGAGTCCTATGACACACTCCCTTCACTTCCTGCATCTGGTTTCCTGGAGTTGTGGGTGTCTCCATCATGGCATACCCAGGCCTGCCCTTGTTCAGTTGTGGCCTAACTTGCTGGTATCTGACCTTTCTCTGGGACCTCAGCTACCAAGCTCCCCCAGCTCTTGCCTAGCTCTCTTCACTCCACTCAATTGGAGGGAAGAAAGTGAAGAAGGGCAGGATTCCTGGCCAGAGTGGGAGCGGAAGAGCTGAGGAAAGGAACAAACTTTATTGATCATCAAATTTCTAACAGGGATTGTGCCAGACACTTGCTGAAAGTTCACCATTTAGTTCCAACCAGAATCACGGGAGGCACGCTGGATGATTAGTATTATTGAAAAAGTAGATTTGACCTTGTGGACCCCTGACAAGGTCTCAGGGACCTTAAGGAGTTCATGGTCCACACATTGAGAGCCTTGGTGTAAAGTAAGTAATATTTTATAATGACCTTTTATTCAGCCATATTGACAAGTTATTTTTGTTCATTCTAGAAGTTTTTTAAAAATACCAGCTTCTTGCATCTGAAGGTGTCAATGATTAGAGAAAATTATGTCAAAACATTTTATTTTTATTTTCCTGCATGTATTATATTTTCTTACTGATACATTATATTTTTAAAGTCAGTTGGAATGGATTTAACTCATGAATGAGGGACTCAACAGCATGGTTCCACGCTGGCTCTTGTATGCATTTGTTATCCAAAGTTTTACCAGGCTCTCTTCTGAAAAAGGACTTTGGTTCAAAGAGGATCAAACTGCTCTTGGGCGATCATGTAAAGTTTTCCAAGTTACCTCTGGAAACCAAGACTCTTAGGTAAGGAGGGGATGAGATGGAGAAAAGAATGGGGTGGCACTATACTAGTTTGAACTGTTCTTAGAGTCCTGTATTAGAAGGACTTTTTGATTATAAACCACAGGAGATCTCTGGATTTAAGTGATGCAACAAGGCCATTCCGTAGACAAGGGCGTCTCACATGGCCTATTTTGGGTTGAACTGTGTCCTCTAAAAAACATGAAGTCCTTAACCCCTGTGAATGTCACTTCTGGAAACAGGGTAGTTGCAGATGTAATTAGTTGAGTAGGGTGGGTCTTTACACCAATATGACTGGGGTCCACATGAGAGGAGACCCAGACACACAAGGGAACAAGCCATGTGACCATGGAGGCAGACTGCAGCACTGCGGCTGCAAAACAAGGATGCCAAGGGTTGCCCGAGCACCGCTGGAAGCTAGGAAGGCGCAAAGAGGGGCTCTGCCCTGCAGGTTTCAGAGGGAGCATAGCCTCTTGATTTCAGACTTCCAGCTTCCAGAAGTGTGAGACCATGCTTTTCAGTTGCTTTTGTGGTCTTTGAAAAATCAGACAGAGGCCGAGAACCAGGACTACAGGCTTTATTAGGGGAGAAGGACCTGCGGGCTGTCCCGCAAGGGGAGGACAGCAGCACGTGCAGGGGTGGGCACGCCTTTTGAGGGGCAGAATGGGAAGGGGTGGGGGCTTAGTGTACTCGGCGCACACTGATTGGTGGCTTACTGCATTGTCCATATAGGACAAGGGCTTAGGGTATTTGGCAGGTGTGGATTGGTGGTCCAATGTATAGTCCATATAAGGTACCTGGTTAGTCACTCAGGTATTTCTGGGCTGCAGGTTACGTCATACTCCGCCCACCAGTTGGGGGAAGGGAGGATCTATCAGTCTTCTGTTAAGGCAGCCCTGTTAAACCAATACGTGACTCAAGGGCAGGGAAATGGCTGAAGCCCTGAGACAGACTGAAAAGGGGGAGCTGGGCCCCTGAGGGTCACCATCTGCTTTATTCCTCTTTCTCACTGCAGATCATCATTCTCTCCTCTGGCCAACACTCTCCATGGTCATTTTTGGACTCTTTGTCCGAATGAATCCACAGACAGAAAGTGATATAACAAAGATGGAGATTTATTGAAGAACAAGTACAGACTCCCACATAGGGAAGAAGTCCCACTGGGTTCCTTTCCCTATGGCTTATAAAGGTTGCAGATTCTGGTGCCTGAAATCCCCTCTGATTGGTCAATATTCCACTTTGAGCTCCACCCCCCCCTTCCCTCTGGGCTTTCTTCTTTTCCAATTGAATGAAGGGCTTCCTTCTCTTTGTTTTGTAAATATAGACCTTTCCTGGCTACCTCCAGTTCCCTTGTCTTATGTAAATGCAACTGTTGTTGCTCCCTTGTCTTATGGAGCTGTAACTGCACCTGGCTTCCTGGTGTTATGGAAATGTACCTTCTCCCAGTCTGCAGCCCCAAACTTTTCCATGGACCCCAATTCTAAAAAATCCCTAAGCCTGCCTATGTTCCCCCGAAATTCCTGCTTCGATTTCCACTTCCTTCCTATGCAGGTCTGGGCCACCAACCAGTTCAGAGTGGTCCCTTCTCCCCTTCCTACCAAGAGCTAAATTATGTTTGGTTTAAACCTAATGGAGACCACCCTCTCTCTTTTATGGGTATTGGTTTAAGAGAAGACATGTGACTTGGTTTAGCCCAGGACACTTGAGGATCTGGAAACCTGCTGAGGCTTCTGGAAAAGGTTTTCCTCCCGGATGGAAAAAAACAACAACAAAAACGCTATCTAAAGTAGGAACCTGCTTGTTGCCTTCTTGCTGTGGATGTGTCCTTGTTGATGACATGATGTTTGGAGCGGTGGCAGCTGTCCCATGTCTATGAAGGGAAAAGCCAAGAGTATGGAGTCCATTAACCACTGTGGCAGTGTGAACGCACTGTGACCCTTTGGGGGAAGGCAGAGAGCTGAGTGTTTAGAGGACCTAATACTGGCTTAATGCTGTACTCTGAGTACAGTGCTCTGTACATCCTGCTTCTCATCTGGAATGAAAATATTCACTTCTCTTAGAGTTAATCTACTTGTAATTTGGGGGTGAGGGGGAGGACAAGAATCTGAACAGAATCTGAAGAATATGTATGAATCATTGGCTACAAAGGAAGACAAATGCCTCCAGTTGTGCCCCCAGAATTATTAGGATTTGAAATGTCAGAATGAGTCACAGCTGGTCATGTTTTATAAGTAGAAAAACAACTCCATTGTATATTATTATTCAAGTGGTGCATGATTACTTCATGGGGGCAGATGGGAACAGTCTATTGCCATTTAAGAGAATGGTTTCAGAATGAGAAAAGAAAGCCATTAAGTAAATCACCATAAGCCGTGCACAAGCCTCCTGATTCCATCAGTTTTCCACGGGTTGACTGAGAATAAGGGCCAAGACACTCTCCCTTCTGTACACAGAGGCATAGGCACTGCGGCCTGCAATTACCAGGGGTGGGCAAACTTTTTGAATCGAGGGCCACAATGGGTTCTTAAACTGGACCGGAGGGCCAGAACAAAAGCATGGATGGAGTGTTTGTGTGAACTAATATAAATTCAAAGTAAACATCATTACATAAAAGGGTACGGTCTTTTTTTTCAATAGTTTTATTCATTTCAAACCGGCCGGATCCGGCCCGCGGGCTGTAGTTGCCCACGGCTGAATTAGCCCATTCAGAAATTAACACCTAAACTCTCCAGTGTTATACCTTGGCCATGTTGAACTGCAGCTAGGAATGGAGTGGCTTTGTCCTAGGAGATCATAAGGAACAGAATGCTTATTATAAACTAGGCTGCCTTAAATATCTGTAAGAAATTTTATAGATGGCAACTGTAAAAAAGACTAAAAATAATTGTTCTCTTCTGTAAGCAAACTGTTCGTTGACCTATGTTCTGCTGGAGTCCTCATTGGATTCTGTTGATCCAGTAGATGGACATCAGTGAACAGGAAATAACCTAATTTGCATTATACTTCCCTGCCATCTGACCACTCACGTTAATCCTGAGACCTTTACCAGTTCACTGATGACCAATCAGAGCCAACGCTGGGGTGGATGAAGGTCTGTACTTTTCAACATAAGGGACTGGGACTAAGCCCTTCTTGCCTTTGCTGTTCTCATTCCTCCACTGCTCTTCAGGTGTTGCCTGGATTCTCAGGGTGCCTCCTTTCTTAAAGGCAAATCTGCATCACACTCATTGAAGTCAAAGAGGGGTTGGGTCATACCTCCTCTGGCTCTTCCTGCCTGAGAATTACCCCACTTCCCTGCCTGGTCCTGGAAACTGGTTCTATCAACACTGCTGTGTCCAAATAGTGCATTTTGTAGAATTCCAGTAAGTAGGCAATTAATCATACACCTGATCTTCTGTTGGAAATCTAAGGGGACTCAACCCATCTACTCCACTCCTCGGAGAGAAGCCACCCATCTTGACCATCTCACCACCAGTCCCAGGACCCACTGCACAGTGGACCAGCTCAGGTCTAGCCTCACTATTGTGTTTGAAATGGCGGTGCAGCTGTAAGCACTCCTCACTGAAGAGAGCTCTGTAGTCCTTTCGTTTCTTTTTTCTTATTCATCTTGTAAAACTCTCTTCTACTTATAGATATACTTATTTTGTATTTTCTCAATAACTCCAACATCTAATTTCTACACAGGTTTATTCTGTTTGATATTTTTGCTGACTTTCATTCCTGTTTTGTAGTGTGTGTGTGTGTGTGTGTTTTCACCATAGCTCTTAGTTATCGGAACTTTGTCTTCTGAAATTCTTTCAGGTCTGGTCTGGTATAGTCCTATAGAAAGGATTTATGTTTGCTTCTGCTAAGTGCCTGAGGTCCTTCCAGGCTGAGATTACTTTAAATAAATCACTCAGCTGGATGTTTCTTGGACCTCACATGCAGTGTGTGTATTTGTACCCTGATCCTCCAACTGGTCTCCCTGTCTCCAGCTGGCCCCTGCAGTCAATTCTCTTTACTGCAGCAGAGTGGTTAATTTTTTTCAAATTTGTCCTGGCAGGTGCGTTGTCCCAGGCACCATAGGTTTCAATTCCCCATCGCATTGGAGCACATA